TAAATTCTGCTCCAGGAAAAAAAAGAGTGATTGAGTGGCAAATGCACTTGCTGAATAGACAGCAGGCCATCACAGTTTTTGTGACTTTTTCAGTCAGTAAATATTTGCACCACAAGCTGGCATGTAACCAAGAGAGGATTCAATAGCCTTGACCTGTTATGGCCGAAATAAATATCACCATTGCAGTTACGCAATGCACTGGCAGGTTAATTCTGCCATAAAGTTTAGAACTCACTCTCACTTACTACACCTGCATAGTTTTTGAGTGTTATCACTAAGGCTGTGTGCATTTCACTGGCGGGTATTTTTATACATATACTGGCTGAGTCCATACAACATAACCATGCAGAGTTGCTTGTTACTATACTTTGTGTGTGTGTGGGGGGGGGAACCATGATCTGCCTGACAGGTATCAAGTGATTTCCACATTATCAGTCCTCCCACAGTTGGCAAGTATCCCATCTGCCACCATTCAATCCCAAGATGCATCACTCCCTGCCGATGTTGCCTGCCTGTTCCTCACTGGCCTGCATATGGAGGCTGAAGGTTGCAGCAGTCCTGCTATTGCTGCTTTTCCCAGGAGACTCTGTGCTGGTGACATGCTAGGACCACTGAAATCGCACCCCTGGATTCAGAACACACAACAAGCCACAGCGGTACAAAAAAACATAGAACAAACCATTGTTTCTTAGCATACTGCTGCAAACCCCCAGAAGATCTTCAGCCACTGGCTAGTCTACAAATGGTAACAACAGCAGTACGGATGAGATTTCTCAAGGCCAGACTTACCATGATGCAATATCTCAGCTGGGTTGAGACAATGGTATAAAATCCGGATAAGACATGGCTTGTTGTCTTATCTGAACCCAACCCCTGAAATCTTTTTACACTGAGAACCACGGTGGGCAAGGCTGTGGACAAGCAAGACCACTCTTCAGATCTCACTTCAGGTAGAAACTTGTGAGACCACAAGAACAGTCCTGTTGGATCATGCAGGCCAGTCTCACATCTCCAAAAGAACTACAAACTTGCATACAATCTGAATATGCTAACTGTTATTATGACCTTAAGTTACTATAACCGGGAGAGGCTAGTACTCCTTTGTGGCTTCGTATCCAGGAAAGCTTTTATTCTGAGCTTCACAGGAGCTATTCATGGGCCTCCATTGTGGTGGAGCTATTTGGGGGATGCATGTCAGCACCATGGATAGCTCCTATAAAGCTCAGAATGAAAGCTGCAATGGACAAGGAACCTCACTGATATTGGAGTCCCCAGCTTCCTCTGGCTTTCAGAAATACACTGTATTTCACCATGATGGGAAAGGCTGAGAGCAGGACACCTTTGCGCTCTGCTGTTTATATCTTAATGGGTAGCATCCAGGATGCAAGATCTCCTGGCTTGATATGCTTATCTTTATACCAGAATTGGACAAGGCAGCCCTTCAAAGAAACCAAGTGTAGGGAACCTCTTTCAAGCTGAGGGCTGAACTGAGTTTCAGAGGTGTTCTTGAGAGGTAAGTGGGCCTGAAAGCAGAAAGGTGGGCCCAAAAGTACCACAAAAAGCACATGATCACTTAAAGTTTTTTCTGCCAGTAAATAAGTCTTATGGTTTGAGGACTGAGGAAAGCAACATAAAACTGTCTAGTGGTTGAGGGAAAGGGGGTGTGGCCAAGGGAAAGGGGCATGGGCACCTGAGCCATGGATGGTTGGATTAGGACCCCAGAAGGGTGAAATCTGGCCTTCCAGAATGGAAATTCCCCATCCAAGAAATAGAGGACTGTCAGTTCTATAACTAGAGGATTGCCATCATAATGCAGTCCCTACATGAAAGACATCAGGAGGCAAAGTACCCGGAGGAGGGCCTTCTCTGCAGTGGTGCCCCATCTATGGAATGCGCTCCCCAGAGAGGTCTGCCTGGCGCCATCGTTATTTGCTTTTTGGCGCCAGGCTAAGACCTTTTTATTTAAACAATATTTTAATAATGTTTAATATTAACTATAGGTTTTAATTTGCAGCCGGAATGAATCGGGTTTTTAATTTGTATAGTCTGTATTTCTGTACTATGTTTGTTTATGTAAGCCGTCCCGAGGCGTTAAGTGATGGGACGGCATACAAAAACTCTAAATAAATAAAATAAATAAATACGTGGCCACCTTGTGGTGCACCCAGCCAAATGTTCCTTCTGGTCCACCATTCTGTTTCGCACATTGAAAATAGATGACAATCACAAAGGCAGGTGAGGCCTGGAGACAGCCCTCCTCTGCTGCTGTGTGGAGACAGATGGCCCTCTTCCGCTGTTGGCAGCCGGGGGCATACCATTGCTGAACCCAGAGGGCCTACACAGGCACCCTGACGAGTAACCAGCCACAAATAATCATACTTCAATGCGCTGGATCCCCTTTGCAGCCATTTTAGCTATAGACCATCAGTGCCTGGCATGTGTTGGATGAAGGATTACTTTTTTCTCAGTCTGAATCCATTGCCAGCCAATGGCATGTGGTGATGCTGAGTTCTGATCTGGTGCCAGAAAGAAAAACATATCCTTTCCCACTCACTAGTGGCCTTCTTCAGTGAAGGGTCAATATTTCTCAGAGGAAGGCTTTAAGTAGTGCTGGTTTCAGGTTTTGAGGGTCCTTGAGCTAGAAAGCCTCAATTTTCCTCTTCTTCCTTCTCATCATTGCTTCTGCTTGCTTGCTTGCTTGACAGGCAGAGAGCCAGTGAGCAAAGAGACCACAGAATCTGCTGCTTCTCCTCTTCTCCACCACTGTGGTCTGGACCAGAGTGAGAAACAGATAAATGAGCAGGCTGCAGGAGTGAAGAGGGGAAGCAAGTCCTGGGGACTCTTCTCAGTGGACCCCCTGCTACAAGGTGGGTTCTCCATTGGTCGCTAGCCATGCATACTTTTAATCACTTATTCCCTCTAAGCCAACCTTCCCTTCGTGGCTGCATATTCAATCTGTCAAAATAATCCCTTTAGCTGTGTCAAAGCACCTGCTCCAAACAAACAAACAAACAGACTCTTATCTTTGACAGCTGTCCAAAGAAAGTTTTCATTAAAATGTGTGTGCCTGACTCTTACTTTTCCAGAGTACCTAGAGGGCTGGGAAAATGTGGAAAAAGTGGGGGGTTATGGGAATTGTTGGAACAATATTACAAAACTAGGACATCACACCCCAAAGAGTGAGATGTCAAGAGCCCCTTTCACCAGCAAAGATTCCAGCATGGCTTTGCTGTTTTCCTCACAACTTGCTATTTGATGGCTGTCCAGTGAAAAGAAATGAATGAACCCATTTGCAGCCTTGCTTTGCCAATGCCCATGGATGGTGCCTACTGTGCTTTGACAAAGGATACTCACTTGGACATTGACAAGGCAAAACTTCACATTTTGCATAGTCAGAGGTGTGCACCTATGATCAGACCAGGATGGACTCGTGATCAGACCAAAGAGAGGACACAAGTCCTCTGGGATTTCAGCTGGGCAGAAGGAGTGGGGGACAACCCACAATAAGGCCCACCATCCGTCAGGTATAGCATGGGTTGTTACATGAACAACCCACACTGCTTAGCTTATTCATAGGCTGGATTGCCTCTTCCTGCCAACTTGTCCACAGTTTATGAAGCACTTTGGCCACTAGCTGAACCTTTGAAATGCATTGCATAAATTAATAATAATGTTTAAAAGCTTAATTTATAGTCCTTACAGCTGCAAAAAGCTTGCAAGCATACAGATGAAATCTCAAAATCTGGAAAAAAAGCGTGGCGTGGCATTGTGTGCATGGGGTGCTGGTGTGTCAGTTCCATGCCCAGCCCATTGCATTATTCCGCAATCCCTTGCAAGGGAAGAATCCTAGTTATTTGAAAGCCAACCTATATATTGCGTTACAGAAGCAAACTCGCTCTGGCTAGTTTAGCTCGGTTGCAGGACTGGAACTTTCCTGTTGCAAAGCAATGAGAACCTGCTTTTTGCAATGAAGGTAGCCAGATGCAGAGCTGCACAGAACTTGTGTACCTTTCTTAGCCATATGGGAATTTTGGGTTGGCAAGTAGCGTTTTTGCTATGCAGGTGTCTGAAAAGCTGCCAAACAAAATTCCCTCTTTCACCTTGCTCTTAAAAAAAAAATGCTGAAGACGTTTCTTTCTCGGAAACTGGCCACTTTAGTTACAGTACAGCAAAGAGGATCTACACGGTCTTCCCCCCTTTTTCTTTTTGAAAATGTGTGGGTCTAGGGAGGAGTAACCCTAAACCAGCCTTTCCCAGAGTTGAGTCCAGGATGTTGCTGGAGTACAGTGCCCCACATCCCTGGCCATTGGTCATACTGACTAGGGAGCATGGGAATTGCAGTCAAATTGACTTCAGCACTGACTGAAGACTGCTGACTTCAGTATCTTTTTCATTTCAGCCAGCTGTAGCACTAAGGCTTTGGGGTTTGTCACCTGTTAGTGCTTTTTGTGGGAGTACAGGGATGGCCTTTTTCCAGGCAGGTTATCTTTCTAAACCAGTGTCATCTGCTCTGACAGGCAGTGGCTCTCCAAAGCAGGAGACATGAGAGGGTGAAGCTTCAGAGGAAGCTGGATGTGGGAAGCAGCCTCCTCACCTGTCTCAGGCAGAAGCCTTTCCTGATGACCTGGTAGCTATCTGATTCCTCTTTAGCCAGACAACCAGCATAGCGCTAGAGTGCTGGACTCGCTCAAGGGAGAACAAGCCCCAGTCCCCCTCCGCCAAGAAACTCACTGGGTGACTTTGGACTGACTCTCAGCCTAATCTACCTCCAACGGTTGTTGTGTAGACAAGCAGAAGGAAGCTGGATCGTGTCAGCTGCTTTCTGCTCCTTACAAGAGGGGTGGGGGGAAGACAGGATATAAACGCAGTAATAAATAATGGCATTAAGCATCAGAGGCTCAGCCTGCCTGCAAAGCATGTGCTCTGTGCCACTGAGCCTCGGACACTGTGGTGTGCAAGCCCAGCCCTGCTTCACTCGAGCGAAGTAGAAAGGCACCTACCGCAGCTGCTCCCCGGTAAGCAGGACCTCAGCCATGTGTTCCAGCTCGCCAGCCTTCTGCTGCATGCTGCCCAAGCTACTTTCCTCCATTGCTACCAGTCAGGCTGGGGACACAGAAGAGCCAGAAGGTTAAAGAGGGCAGGACTGTTTCTCAGCACACCGGGACTTCAAGCTGCAATTTCGCAACGCTTGGACATGTCCCCAACACACACACACACACACCCGTAGAAATCCTTTCTGTACAAACGGACACCTTGCATTTAAAGCTGTGACCTTCCTTGACAACTTTGCCCCGTTTTAATTAAACACCCATCGGGAGGGGGGTGTTTTTGGTGGGGGGGCGGTTTCTGCGTGCGCTTCCTGCACGCCTATCCCACACCCTGCCTTTGAGCTCTTGGCAATCTGCAGCCCGTCAATGTATTTACTCTGCAAGCTTAACAAGTTGTCACTCTCACTGCTTCCCAGCCTTTTCGTGGAAATCTACCGAGCAGTTCCTTCTCTGACCCAGAGATTTCCTTCCTCCTGCACAACCCCTCCCTTGCAATTAAAAGTCTTCTGCAGCCCGGGAAATGCCTTGATTTAGGGTAGCTGATTCTGCTCGGGGAGGTTTGTTTGAATAGCTTTGGCAGGTCGGATCGGGGGGGGGGGGGACGGACGGAGGTCCTGAGTCCTGGACATGCCCATCCTAATCATTCTCCAAACTCCGAAGCGCTGCATAAAGGATGGAGGACGTTTTGGGGAGCGGGATTAATTCAGCCCGTTGGTGCAGGAAACAGGCACCTGGGGCCATTGCTAACAGGAGGAGGAGGCTGCGTGCCCTACCGCGTCCACTCACCTGGCCCGGGAGAGCCGCTGTCCCCCTGTCCTCCCGGAGGAGACGCAGCTCCTGCAGGGGCTTCCTTGTGGCGCTGTGACAGGCGGCCTGGCGCGGGACACGTGGCCGCATCAAAGCACCCGCGGGCGCCGCTCCGGGGGCAGCGCAGACAAGGCCGGCAGCGTCCCCCTGCGGCACCGCGGCGGCGAGGCGCTGCTCGGGCCAGGCGTGCGGTCAGTGTCAGGCGCAGCGCTGGATCCGGCTCAGCCCCGGGCGGGCAGGCAGGCAGGCAGGCGGGCAGGCGGGCGAGCGGGCGGGCGGGCAGCCTGCGGGCGAGGCGAAGGGGAGCTGCTCCGTGTTTACCACTCGCGAGCTTCCTGAAACTGCCGAGCGAGCGAGCGAGCACCGAGCGGCAGGGACGCGCTTCTGCAATTCAGGGATCCCGCTGCTCGCACAGCCTCCTTCTCTTTCCCCAGCTGTTTCCCCTCCCCTCCCTTTTCCCTCCTCTTAACGGAGCCCTTCCTGTTCTTTTTCCTCCAAAACAAAACAGAAATCGGCCCAACTGGGGGGGTGGGTAGAGAATCGAGGACAGTATAAAAGCAGGAACGGAGCACACCGGAATGGGCCTTTATTTTTTAAAACATGCCAAAATCAATGACATAGAATCATAGACTCATAGGACAGTAGAGCTGGAAGGGGCCATGAAGACCATCGGGTCCAACCCCTGCTGTTGCAGGACACCAAGTTACACCATCCCACTCAGAGGGCTGCCCAGTTTCTTCTTGAATGTCTCCAGTGTGGGAGAGCCCTCCACCTCTCCAGGCAGCTGGTTCCACTGTCGGATTGCTCAGACAGTGAGGAAGCTTTTCCTGATGTCCAGCCTGAATCTGGGTTGTCCCAGCTTCAATTGATTATTTTGTGTCCTACACTCTGGTATCAGCAAAGAGAGACCTTGTCCTTCCTCTTTGTGACAGCCTTTTAGGGATATCATGTCCCCCTCACTCTTCTCTTCTCAAGGCTGAACATGCCCAGTTCTCTCAGTCTCCCCTCATCGGGCAGTGTTTCCAAACCCTGGACCATTTTTGTTGCCCTCCTCTGGACATTCTTCTCTCTTCACGTGAGAAGAACATTTTAGTGCTGAAACCCTCGCAATAATGTATTCTTATTAACTCCATAATCCTACCCAGAACAGAACAGCCACTCCAAGGATTCCAAGCCAAGAAAACTCACTAGTCACAGGGAATCACATGGGAGAGATTCAGCCAGCCACAAAATGTCCACAGAAGCCACATGTTCCGGGTAATCTGGAAAATGGCCTTCAGCAGCAACTTCAAAGTGACCAAAATAGACTGGTCTCACTGAACTACCTGGGCAGAATGACATAACCCACAAAATCTCCATAGGAACCACATTTTGGTCCCTTGTACCTGAGCCAAGCAGTAGTCCACATTCCAGGAAAAGGTCAGCTTCCTTGAGGACCAAGGGTACACCACATGTACATGGGCAGCACACAGCAGGATGCAAATGTCTACAGGAAGCACATTTTGGTCAATGGCCAAGAATGGCAACTTCTGAGTAAGCTTACCAGTTGCACAGGACTTGGAGGAACAGATACACTGTGCTACAAAATTTTACAGAAACCATATGCCACACAACAGTCCACAACCCACAAACAGAACAGAGCAATCCACCAAATTAATGAGGCTCACATAATGGGATAGGAGAGAAGCCTCAAAACCTCCAGTAAAAACAACAACAACAACAACAACACATTTTGGTACCAGGGAATAGCCCATATTCAGGAAAAAACAGGAATTTGAGCCAAACCAACCAAAATCTCCAGCCATATATAACCATTCCAGGCAGAGAGTTATGCAAGGAGATGCAAAACATCGCCAGGACGGATGTTCTGATGCCCATTCCAGACAATGGTCTGTATTCTGAAGACAAGCCGAGAACAATGACTTTAATTTAAGCAAAATAAACCAAATACACCACTCTCCTTGGGAGGGATGCACTAATCCACAAAACCTCCAAAGAAACCACATTCGAGGTTATAGTTGGTAACCTAGAAAGTGGCCAGGGATGCCAACTTCCTCTGAGCCAAATAAAACAAATGTCCCCGTTAGTCACATATATCTACAAAAAGGGATGCAATATGACACAAAAACCTCCACAAAAATCATGTTTTTGACCATTCCAGGCAATAGTCCATAGTCTGGAAAATGGCCCAGATTAACTAAATTCAAAAGTTACACATAACTGGATCAGGCAGAAGGCAATAAACTACATTATTACTGTAGAATCCACATTTCAGTACCAGTCCTGGGTAAATATACTTTGCTCCAGGAGAGCAATCTAGAATGTCAGCCTCCAAGTGTGTCAGAATTTGGGCAGCTCCATCTGGTGGCCAGAATCAGATTGGTCCCTGCAGTGCTTGCGGGATGGGGCCCAGACCCTGCTGGAGCTCAAGTCTCTTGGTGCGTGCCTGGTGGGAGAACTGGTAGAAGAATTATATAGAGCAATTCTTCCCTCCAGCGGAAGTTTTAGCAATGCAGGTCTTCCTGCTAGCTGCAGCATGTTCCAGCTTCTGTAACTCACCTGGCCATGTGGGATCTGGTTCCTGCTGTGCTTTGCTGTATTGTGCCTTGCCTTGCCTTGCCTTGCCTTGCCTTGCCTTGCCTTGCCTTGCCTTGCCTTACTAGTGGCACCCTCAATGTTCCTGAATCCGGTCCAGTTATCCTGCCACAGGTACCTGCTCACTGCACTTGCTGTCTTTCCAGTTCTTGACACTTGGCTTGTTTGTCACCACGGCTTTGTGGAACTCCTGGTTCCTGACTTCGGCCTGTTCCTTGACTATGACCTTGCCTCGGACTTCATTCCTGGACTTTGCACTGTGTTTGGACTCTCAAGTTCTGTTGCCCTGGTTCTGTTGCCTTCGTCTTGACTCCTGTTGCCTACATGCCCAGACCCTAACAAACTAATCTACATCAACCAAATTCATCATTCATCGATGGGACTTAACCTGAAAACATGTTGCAGAACCCACTCTTGTTAATAAAATGCATTTCAGAAGATGGCATGTAACACAAACTTTCTGCTTAGCCCAACTACCCAAATTTACTAATTACAGCTGAATAGGTGGGATGATGCAGCAACCCAGAATATTTCCACAGCAGTAATGTTCAGGATTCTGGGAGAATGGAGCTCAGCATCTGCACTAGAGATAGCAAAGCCAAGTTCAGAGGTCATGCATATGAAGATGATGCTGCAAGCCATAGAGAGAAGCCCCACTTCGGTTTGCCGTTGGGACAATAATCTGTTTTCTAGACAAAGCAACCTGAACAATAACTTCCAAACAGCCAAACCAGCCTAATTCAACAGTCACACATGACTAGATAGAACAGACATAATAAATCACAAAATTTCCACAGAAGCCTTATTGGGATATTGAAAACTTGTAAATCACCAGGCCCAGATGGTATCCCTCCTAAAGAACTCAAATGTGAAGTTGCTGATCTTCTAGCAAAAATATGCGGCCTGTCCCTAAGATCAGCTTGTATACCAGAAGGCTGGAGAATGGCCAATGTAATTCCAGTTTTTAAAAAGTGGTCTGGAAATTACAGACCGGTTAGATTAACATCTGTTCTGGCTAAATTGGTTGCAAGCATGATTAAATATAAATTAGTAAGCATATAGGAAGATAAGCCTTGCTGAAAAAGAATCAACATGCCTTCCAGAAAGGTAAGCCATGCCTCACTAATCTTTCCGAGGTCTTTGGAAGTGTCACAGAACATGTGACAATGACAAAATGTCTTGCAGCACCTTAAAGTCTAACATGTTTGTTGTGTTTATCGCTGAACGACTTTGTGAATAGCAGCTAAGGTAGCTACCACTAACTGGATTTGCACAACACAACAACCTATCGTTGGGTGGCAAACCACAGTGGCTTGTCCTGCTGCATGAAGCTGGACTAATCCTGTAGGGTAACATGTTGGAGGGCAACAAGCCACCCTGACAACCCTTGGGCTGTTCAACACATGATGGGTTGTCTTGTTATCACACCTGGCGACCAGGTCCAATATGACTATGAGGAATGGGCTAGCTGGCTGTTTGGTAAGATTGGCAAAAGCCCCTTGCCACACTCCCAGAGCTTCCCTAGGTGCCCCCCAGTGCTAACCACCCCACACATGGCCAGTCAGTAAGTGGGGCACCTGCTATCGCCTTGATTGCAAGCCATTTTGGCTTGCCATAGCTTTTTGTATTCGGGAAACTCTGGGGCAATTTCCAAGGTTGGAATTTGCTGCACTTTGCCCAGGAAAGGCTGTCCATTTTGAGACCTAAGTATGCATTTGTGAAAGACTGTTTTCTTTTAAAGATTCTACACAGCTATTTGCATAGATTAGGGTTACAAAAGTTAAGGGAAAAAATAGTTGGCGTCACTGTATAGCCCCTCCAAGGTACCGCTTGGCAACTTTGAAGGAGCTGTCAGTAGCTGTTCAAACAGGGACTGCAAAAAGTGGCTGTCAGGCTGGACTTCACAATCTACAGGGGGTGGGGAAGCACATAAAAATACAATATCAAATACAAACAGCATTATCATGCTAATTAAAATGTTAGCATATAAAAATTCAAACCAGATTTGAAACACATATAAAAAGTTACAATTCTTATACAAATTAAATTACAAAACCTGATTAAGTAGCTAACAAAGCCCCAGTATAAAGCTAATTAAATTTTCTGTGGTACAGTCTACATCTTCAATCTTGCATTGAAAAGATATTAAAATTGGCACCAGGTAGGCCTGCATGGGGAGCTTGTTTTATAACTGTGGAGCGACCATTGAAAGGGTTCTTTTCCTGGTCGCCACCAACCAGGTCTCCCTTGGAGGTGACAATCAGGGGTAGGTCCCAGATCTTCATCAGAGTGTCTGGGTGGATTGTGGTTAGGAGACACATTCTATCAGGTTTGTCTTCCCAATCCATGTAGGGATTTCTAGACTAAATGCAGTGCCTTGAATGACTTTAGAAGCACATAGGCAGCCAA